GTACAATTAAAATTGAAATTGAAATTTTTGGGGGCAACAGCTGTCCAGTTTTGCCGCGGGTAAACTCAAAAAAACTGCTGAGAGGTGCTGTCATACAATTTTTAACTTAGAAACCATTTGTAATTCAAAATTGCGCGTTTGTGATTGGTGTAAATTAAGACGAGGGAATTAGTCACCTAAATACTAGTTTTATCGTTGTAAAACTGAAAAAAACACTCGTTTTCTAAAATCTAATTGGTCCATAAAGTAATGAGTGGAATAGTCAACAAAAAACTATTTCGAACAAATCAAAAATAGTCTGCAACAACGATATACTCAAGCAAAATCGCAAAATTGCATTGTGTGATTCCATGTAAAAATGAGTCACGCACAGTAAATCGTGAATCGAATGTTAAAAAAATATTATAGAACTTGCTTTATTCTTAATTCTCCTTTAAAATATTTTTCAAAGGACATTTCTAGTGTTCTTTTTTAAATCGAAAAAAAAAAATAATAGTTGGCCAACGATGCATCGCGATGGGGCCAACCTTAAAAACTTTTAAATTTAGTCAAGTTTTTTACAAAATCGCTACTTTTAAACTATTAATATTAGAAAATCAAACAAAACATAGTTTTCGAAAAAAATTCTTTGCTTGTGTTGTCATGATCTTTTGTTTAATTTTCTATTAAAATACTAATAATTTAAAAAAAATTCAAATCGATACATTTTTTAAAAATTTATGAATGGGACACCACTCTTAAATCTTAATTTGAAAAAATAAAAAATAAAAAGCATCGGTAAAACTGCTCAAATTGAAATAAAATTGTTTTTTTTAATGGAAACCCTGAATATTTTTGAATATTTTGATGGATTTTTTTATGCTAATTTCAAAAAAATATATAATTTTTATGTTTCAGTTTAAACATTATTAATTTTTAACAAAACGATAATAATTATTTCAAACGGCATGCTTATTTTAGGGTAAAAGTTATATAGGTACAAACTATATATTTTAGAAACCAGAAAAAAAACATTTAAATATTCAAAGATATACGGAGTGTTTTATATAAAAACACAATTTTAATGTCATTTAATTAAATTTACCGATGCTTTTTTGTTTTGGAATTACTTTTTTAAACCATGCAAGCTGGGTTTAAAATTTTTGCGATATCTCTTCTAATAAAGATTTTATAGGGGTGTCCCATATACAGGGTGTTTCAATAAAAACTCCCAGGCCAATTATTTCGAAAACTAAAAGTGACATTTAAATTCTGTAAACGCCAGTTTTTAGTCTCTATGATTGGCTTCACAACTGTGTAAAAAAATTGTTTGAATAATACAAGATGTAGGTGGCGCCACTGTGCAGAATTTTTTCGATGGCAGGAACTTTTAAATTAATTTTTGATCAAATTATGTCCCATACAAATTTTTGATAAATCCAACATGAAAGGAGATATTTGGGGTTAAGTTTTTTTTTTAATAATTTTAACGAGTATTTTAATTATAAATATTTTTAATATGCTTTAGCAGATGATCATTTAATTCTGGTAATCATAATTATAGTGATAAAACGCTCGTGTAGCGTTAACTAGATTAAAATTATAACGTCCAGTGACGCCTCAGGGGGCCCCTTAACAAATAATATTGGCAAAAAATAATACGCCACTGAGTTTTTGGTAATTTTTATATTTTTTTCGGATTAACCAACTAAAAATATCCTTTTTTTGTCTGTTAAATTGTTTTCATATCTTGCTTCGTTTTCGAGAAATACAAATAAAACCATTTGAAAAACAAAAATCATTAAGAAACAAAACCATAAATTATTAATACCCTATATTTTTTGCTGTTTAAAAACAAAGGTGAAACATTAAAACATAATAAAATAAAATTAAAGGATGTTTTAAATTTTATGAAAAAGTGGTAAGAAATTATAAAAGATTATTAAAGAAAATTAGAACAATACCAAAAACTAACCAATAAGGTCGAATGAGGTGTTCAAAATTATTGCCGTTTTTATACACACATATCAAATCGATATAATAATTCGGTTCTGCAAACTTTCCATAGTGTATTTTGATTAATAGCGGCTATAGTAAAGGATGTTTTAAATTTTATGAAAAAGTGGTAAGAAATTATAAAAAGTTATTAAAGAAAATTAGAACAATACCAAAAACTAACTAATAAGGTAGAATGAGGTGTAACTAACTAATAAGGTCAGCCATGTCTTCTATTGGTTCCTTGTAGACTTCATTTTGTAAGCCGCCCCATAAATAAAAGTCAGGGGACCTTGCTGGCTATCTAAGATCCTCATTTGTGCTGATCACTTTTCTTGTCATTTAGATGATTCATAACGATATTGCTATTGTGTGCTGGGGCACCGTCTTGATGAAACCACATAGTATTAACGTCAATTTCCAAATTTTGTAACAGCAAATTAGATCGTTTTGCAGAAATTGTAAATAACGAACTGAAGTTAAATGTTCATGGTACAAATAGGGCCCGAATATGTAACCATTTACAATACCGCACGAAACATTTACCCCAAATCGTGTTTAAAATTTAGTCTGTCGTATGCAGTTAGGATTTTCCTGGGACCAATAGCGACAATTATGATTATTAATTACTCCATTATTGTAAAACCGGGATTCGTCACTCCACATAATTTGGTTTAATAAATTTGGATTTTCTTCCAAAAGAATATAAAAATGTGTCAAAAAGTTTAATCTGCGCTGGTTATCTCCTTATTGTAGATGATGCTCTAGATGAACTTTGTATGGAAAAAACATATTTCCTTTTAGGAACTTACTGAAATATTGGTTTCATCTTTTAATATTAGAATATTAGTTTCATCTTTTAATTTTCGTAATGACGATTGTGGGTTATTTTTTACTGATTGGAGGACTAAACCTACATTTTCGTCAGTCGTATCCCTTTTCCTTCTTGGAACCGTTTCCTTTTTAAAGCTACCATATGAAGCTAAGTTGGTACACAAAGCTACAAAAGATTTGCGATCTGGCGTTGGTCTCGATAGCAGCGCACAGCTTCTGAAGCATTTTGATGTCATTCTCCATAAACTAAAACCATGTAGGTATGTTCAATTTGTCTTGATTTGTATGGTGAACCATTTTTATTTTAGAAATGTAGAAATTGCAAATTCTTACACTGACACTAAGTAAAGAAAAATTTACTTGATGTTTCTAAAATTCATTTGTTTTTATTTAATGATTATTGTTTTCCAGAGATATGCAGTGAAATGGTTTTATTTTTATTTCTCGAAAACGAAGCAAGATATGAAAACAATTCAACAGACAAAGGATATTTTTAGTTGAATAATCTGAAAAATATATAAAAATTACCAGACACTCAGTGGCATATTATTTTTTGCCAATATTATTTGTTAAGGGCCCCCTGAGGCGTCACTGGACGTAATAATTTTAATCTAGTTAGCGCTACACGAGCGTTTTATCACTAAAATTATCATTACCAGAATTAAATGAACATCTGCTAAAGGATATTAAAAATATTTATAATTAAAATACTCGTTAAAATTATTAAAAAAAAACTTAACCCCAAATATCTCAGTTCATGTAGAATTTATCAAAAATTGGTATGGGACATAATTTGATTAAAAATTAATTTAAAAGTAGCTGCCATCGAAAAAATTCTTTGCATTGTGGCGCCACCTACATCTTGTATTATTCAAAAACATTTTTCACACAGTTGTGAAGCCAATCATAGAGGCTAAAAACTGACGTTTACAGAATTTAAATGTCACTTTTAGTTTTCGAAATAATTGGCCTGGGAGTTTTTATTGAAACACCCTGTATAAGAAAACACCCTTTATATACAGGGTGTTTCATAATATATGCGCAGGACTTCAGGATGTGATAGCTCATCCAAAAAGATGAAAAAAGTCGCTATTAACTTACCCTCTAAAATGCACAATTTTCGAGATACAGGGTGTTGAAATTTTTATCTCTGGAACCGTTTGTCGTACAAAAAACAGCTTTTGTAAGCATTTTCTACTCATTATAAGCTATGTTTTGTTCCAGAAAAAAGGAGAAAAACACCCGCTACCCCTTCAAAGTCTCCACCAATTATGAGGAAAACAAAATTTTACATAGCTTATTATTATTATTATTTTGAGTAGAAAATGCTTACAAAAGCTGTTTTTTGTACGATAAACGGTTCCGGAGATATTCGAAAAAAACGATTTTTTTTCTAAAATTTCAACACCCTGTATCTCGAAAATTGTGCATTTTAGAGCGTAAGTTAATGGCGACTTTTTTCATCTTTTTGGATGAGTTATCACATCCTGAAGTCCTGCGCATATATTATGAAACACCCTGTATAATAAAATTAATAAACTTGGTAATTTTTGTATTTAGTAACAAAAAATATTTTCTGAGAATATTTTATAAAAAAATTAATGAAAATACGATAAAAACCATGTAGGTACCTACTATATTATTTATATATTAATAATAATAATAATATTAAAAAATCGCACCTCCAATTATATTTATATTGTAAATTAGAAATAAGTATTTTTATTTTTAATTTACAATATAAATATATAAACGTATATAAATAGATATATAGATAATAGATAATTAAATAGATATACATAACTACATATTATGTAGTTAGGTATGTATCTCTCAGAGCTTCACTATTTTTTGGAAATTTTAATTATTAATTAATTACTTATTTCATGATATTATATATATATATATATATATATATATATATAATTATAATTTTAATTAATACTAACAATTTGTTTTGTAGATAGGTATGTACTTTTTAATTTTGAAAAAAAAATTAAAACCATTTTTTTTATTTTCTTTAATATTTTTTGATTTTGTTTTGTAACCTAATATAAATATAAATTTCTATTTTTTATATATTTACCTTTTTTTATTTTTTAAACTACCGAAAATATCTATTTTTTTTTTTAAATATTTATATAAATAAATTATTTTTAATTTTTTAATCAACCTCTATGTTCCCTACTTACTTTCATAAGCCCACAGCGTCTTATTCTTTAAATTCTCCACGTACACCCTGCTCTGTTCCCTGCAAACACTATTCTGAGACCGGATCACCTGCACCGGCAAGGGCGGAAAAATCTCGTACCGTTCATCCCCCTTGACAACCACGCACCAAGCCGCAACCACCGCAAAAGCGACGCGCCAAGATTTCAGCATCTCGAAGAACGGAAAAAGAAAGCGGCTCTGCACGCTCACCGTACTGCAACTTGATTAACTGAAATTTATTGGTTGTGTTTTGCTTAGCATTGTGTGCTGTTGTTTTGCTAGTGTTTGGTGGTAGCATCGGCCTTCGTCAATCACGAGGGAGCGGGTTCGAGATCATGGGGATTTGAAAGATGCGATGCTTCTTTGACGTTCTTAACAGTTTAAGTGTCATATGAGCTCAACGTGGTCTTACGCTAGTTGAGTGAGACCAATGTGGACTTTCGTGCACCTTGTTTATTCAGACCTAATTTGACAAAAAACGTCTATCTAGTATATAGCCCACCAACCTATACATCCTTATTTAGCTTAAGTTAACGTTCTTAAGAAAATAAAGCCAACTTAATTTGACAATCTTAAAATGGTTATATCTAGCTTAAGCTGACATTGTAAAGACAAATATATCTCAATGTTTGAAATTATTAATATTAAATGATAAACAATAGTCGTTGCCGTTCGAACTTAGTATTTTAAATAAATTTTGTATTACAATTTCAATATTTTTTATTATTTATATTGTATATCTATTGTATATAGCGACATTTATAAAACAATATAGTAACCAACTTGGGAATCTGTATTACGTCAAATGTCAAATTTTTATGTGTAAATCAAAATGCATCCCTTTAAAATGGACCAGTTAATCTGATACAGAAGCAGTTTTTCACAGTGAAAGTAAGGAAAAGGTTTTATTGGCACTCCACGGTGAAGTCTCCAACCAAAATTAAGTTAAATCTAGTGCCGGCGAAATTACAAGGTCAGTAGTAATGTTCATATAAACTTTTCAAATATTGGCGTTGAGAAACTATTTAATATTTTTGTATTTTTGTTTTAAGATAATAAAATAATTTTTACATTTAGTATTATTATTTAATTTAATTTAACGATTGTATGACATTTGACAACTGTCAAACAACTTAAAACTAACTTCAGCCCTGACTAAAAGGCCATAAAGCCAAAACTTGTAAATGTGTATTTAACAGGTCACTTAGTGTCATGGGAGTTTTAAAGGTGAGAGTAGAAAAAACTAAATTTTGTATTACAATATTTTTAAAAAAGTAACGTAGACTTCATTTGGGTTCAAATTTAATTTAAAAAATGGATTTAATCTACCTACTTAAAAATATTATTAAAAATAAAAAAACATTGTTACAAAAGGTAATTCTTGATAAATTTCATATTTTTTTAAACATTTATGTGAGTAAAGATTACCTAAAACTAAAAAAAAAGACTAAAAAATAGTTAAAAAAATGTAAAATACAAATTTCAACATTTGACAACTCTCAGATAGATTCAACCTAACTTTTTACCAATTTATAATAAAGCTAACTTCAGCTCGTTACTTAAAAACCTGAAAACTTTAGCCCGTGACTTAAACGTACGCCATAAAGTCACATCTTGTCAATGTAGAAGTGGATAAAATAGTATATTATGTATCAAGTTTGATAAACGCTATTTTATACACGAATTTAATTTAGGCACGAGCGAGCTTGCGAGCGAGTGCTTAACTTAATGAGTGTATAGAAAAGTTTATAAACGAGGTGCATACTATACTTTTTCTAGGACAAATACTTATTATTATCTTAAAATGATTTAAATCAAAAATTTGTATAGAGCGCCATCTATGAAACAACAGGAGAAACTGTCAAATGTCACGTTTTTACATTTTATAAACACAATTATAAAGGTTATCTTAAAAATTGACAGTTTTTCACAGTGAATGTAAAGGAAATGTTTTATGAGGACTTAACAGTAGAGTCCGTGCCCGAATTTAAGTTATAGTTTACTGCCGGCGAAATTAAAAGGTCAGTACAATGTTTATATAAACTTTTCAAATATTGGCGTTGAGAAACCATTTAATATTTTTGTATTTTTGTATTGAGATAATAAAATAATTTTCATATTTAGTATTATTTTACAAGAAAGGCACTTTATTTTAACGATTGTATGACATTTGACAACTCTCAACTAACTTAAAACTAACTTCAGCCCGTGACTAAAAACCTGTTGCTAACTTCAGCCCGTGACTAAAGCGCCGTAAAGCCACAACTTGTCAATGTGTATTTAAAAGGTCACTTAGTGTCATGGAAACATGTACGTTAAAGGGCGTTTTAAAGGTGGGAGTAGAAAAAATCATTTAGTTTGTTATCCTTATTATAATTTTTTCTTTTTATGTTTATGTCTACTTGTTTGTGTTTTTAAAGAAATTCAGATTAACATTCACTTTGTTATGATACTAAGCTACTGACCTTGTTTTTATAAGAAATTACCTACCATTATAGAAAATAGTTTACACCTGTTTTTAAGGAAAATTGCACTATTTTTTATATTGTCTAGGTTTATTTTATTTTTTATCTTTTAATGAAATACTTTTTGTAATAAAGTTTTTAGATAGAAAACGTAATAAATTTTATTATAACTATTTATTTTTTTAAATCATCATAACTTTGTTATAATTAACCTTAACGATTGTAAAACGATATAATTTAAATTATTACTTTTTATGATATTTAAAAAATCTCTCATTTCATTATTATATTTCCTATTATGACCACATATTTTATTATACACAATTCATAAATATCCACCAACTATGTAAAAAAAACTTTCGTGATACGAGTAGTTTAGCAACAAATCTTAATGGACACGCTCGAGATGTAAGTTATTAGTAGATATTTCTTATTGCAAAAATAGTCCTATTTCAATATTTAGCAATTTAATTAAATCCAAAAACGAGATAATTCTTAATATACTTTATTTAAATATATGTGTTAACAATATAAGCTGTCTTAATCATAAGTGTTAATTAAAGAACAAAATTATTGCATTGATACAGGTGAAGTCGTTTTTATTTGAACTGTGTCGGCATATATCATTATTATATTGGAAAACCTTAACAATTTCCCAATAGTTCGATATGCTAAATAAAAAACGAACTATAGCACTATATTTTAATCTATAATCTACTATCAGAGGTTTTGTTATTCATATTTGAGTTTTCGCTATTGGTATTATGTTGCGAAACCTTTAAGTTGTTGGTAGCCCTTCTCGGCATCATTATTTCTCTGAAAATTTTTCTGGATGGAGCCTCTATCATTAGGTAAAGTAGTAAACCAAACACGAAAGCAAGAACTATGTCTGACAATGCCAAGCTTATCTAAAAAGAAAAATATTATTTGTCTAGATGATTTACAGGTAGATGCAAAATTCTGCAACCTAGTTCAGTAAACTTTTAAGGTAAAGATAAAAATTAATAAAGTAAGCAGTTGTTTACCGAGGGACTAAAAATAAAGTTGCCTTATTACCCCATTAAATTTTTACTCTATACTTACAACATCAAAATACGAGATGGACCTGGGATTCCTGAACCTCGCAGCTGACCGTAGCTGAAACTGCATGTGCACCAAGTACGCTCCATAAACCAGCTTCGCAAGTGGCACAAGCGGTGACCAGGTTAATACTTTGTTTATTATGTAACCGTGTCCGTAGCTAGCTGTGTAAAGAAGCCCGATGCTGCCCAGCGCCCAGGCTGGTCGGTGCAAAGCTGCGTACGAAGCTGATTCAGCTGCGTTGTATGCGTGGTAAGGGTTGTAGAAAACTCCTCCGATGAAAACTGACATAAACATAAGGGTTAGGGAGACCAAGAGCAGTACAATGGATTTTAGCTGAAAAAAAGAAAATTTTTTTAGTATGAGACAAAAAAACAATAAAAAAAAAAGTCTGAGTCTAAGAAAATTGCAAAGAAATGACTAAAAGAATAATTGTTATTGATTTATAAATAAAAAGTATGCTTCCAGTTATTTCTTATATCGTATTTTCAAACTAAAAGGATCTATACAGTGGCGAGTTTCGAGTGCATCCGAACGTCTTAAAACAAAGTGGGGATAAAGATCCCCACTCTATGCCGCGGCGACGCGTCGCGACGGCAAACCGCGGTGCACTGTTCCAGCAGGGCTGCCGAAGTTGTAGTATAAATACTACTAAAGTAAACATTCATACATTTTCTGCTACCATGCTACTATAGATATATCTACTACAAATCTAGTCTACCCGGCTATGTTTTACCTTGCGTCATCAATCTAGAATATAATAGAACGCCAGCGCCACATGTCTGTGTTTGGTTAAGAAATTGATGACGCAAGGTAAAACATTCGATGAACAGACTACAAAAAAGTTTGCTGGTACCAGAGCTGTCAGAAAAAAGTATCTTAGTTACTTTAGAGTAACTTAGTTACTTTAAAGTATCTAAGTTACTGTATCTTAGTTCCTTTATTTTTTTAACAAAAAGTATCTAGTATCTTAGATACTTTTTAAAAGGAACTGTATCTTGTAACTTAAAAAAAGTATCTTAGATACCGAAAAGTATCTTAGATACCAAAAAGTAACTTAGATACCAAAAAGTAACTTAGATACCAAAAAGTATCTACGATACCACAACAAAAGTTCCTTTAGTCAAGTTGTTCGAAACGGCCGCGGCCATCGAAGTTATTATAATAAGTATACTGGCAACTTCAGCGACTGGCGCCAATCGACTGGCGGCAATTTTTGTTATACCTACTTAATTTTTATTCACCTATACTTCTTTTATAATCTGTGACTTCGCCACCCGCTCTGTAGAAGGGTGTTTCCGTTCGTTGCGACTTGAATTTATAGTGGTAAGTATGAAATAAGTTAGGTTAGGTAAGTACTTGCACTTGCTTCTTTATGATGTACTGATGTAGGATATTGGTTGTTACATTGTACCGTACATTATATAATGTTCAATGTATGTTTTCCATTTTAAATTTTAAAAAAATGTTAAAAAAGATTAAATGAAAAGTGTGAGATAATTTTTGTATTTTTATAATTAAGTGGTGTTTAATTAACGATTTTATTTCTTTTTATTTTTAAGATATTTTAAAAGTGCCTAAGTTAGACACTTTTTGCATTAGACCCTTCAATGGTTTTAATCAACTAGATTTTATTGAAAAAATTTGTTAAAAAAGTAAGCTTAAAATTATTTGAAAAATCAGGGTGGGGTTGGAACGAATTTTTGTTGGGCGGTTTATACGAAACTTATTACATAATATACAAAGTAACTAAAAAAGTATCTTATTAAGTATCTTAAAAAGTAACTTAAGATAAGTATTTAAGTTCCTTTTTTTAAAGAGTAACTAGATACGTACCCAAAGTAACTTCGGATACTTTTTCAAAAAGTAACTTATGTAACACATGTTATTTTTACTAGGGTTTTAAAATTTCCGGAAAAATTGAAAAAAACGAAAAATCGTAAAATTTATGAAAAATTTAATTTTCATTTTTTTTTAATTTTATTTAAAGGGTAATTGAATCTCGATATAACGAGTACGCGATATAACGAAAATCCCGCTATAACGAGCTAATCGCCGGTCCCTTCAATATTTGCTTTTTTTAAACTGTCACGAGCTGTCATCAAGACAATAGGTATAGTGACAGTTAAAATTTTTCTATTTTACCAATTCTTGTTATGGCACCAAGAAGAAAAGCGTTGTCCTTAGAATACAAGGTTCAAATACTCAAAAAAATAGATGACGGTATGAAGAAGGCAGATATCTGCCGCGAAACTGGCTTGGCTAGTTCGACACTTGCGACAATCATCAAAAACAAACACAAAATTTTATTGGGAAGTGAAACATTTTCTTCAAAAGTGAAAAAGATGCGACCCTCAAAGAATCCGGAGATGGAAAAAGTCTTAGTTAAATGGTTTTCCTCTAATCGTGCTTCCAATGTACCAATCAGTGGCTGTCTTGTTAGGGAAAAAGCCCTAAACATTGTTGAAGCAATCGATAATTCCCCAACTATTAAATGTTCCGTGGGGTGGCTTAATAGGTTTAAAAAAAGACATAATATCGGGTGTGCAAAGATCTGTGGGGAAGCTAAAAGTGTGGACAAAAGGGCCGTTGAGGTCTGGTTAAAAAAATTTGCAGTTGCAAGTATTGGTTACAATGAAAAAGATATTTTTAATGGAGATGAAATGGGGCTATACTATAAACTAACACCTGACAAAACTTTAAGATTTAGAAATGAACCGTGCGTTGGAGGGAAATTGTCAAAGGAAAGAATTACTGTGTGGGTGTGCGCGAACATGACCGGTACAGATAAAAAGAGGCTTTTTGTAATTGGAAAATCAGCTAAGCCCCGATGTTTTAAAGAAGTCCAAAATCTACCTGTAGAGTACAAGGCCAACAAAAAAGCGTGGATGACAGCGAAATTGTTTAAAAAAGAACTTGTTCGCTGGGATAAAGAACTAGTTAGAACCAAGAGACGCATCCTTCTTATTGTTGACAACTGTACAGCCCATCCACAGTTAAAGAAAGAATTAAAAAATATCAAAATATTCTTTCTACCACCCAATGCATCGTCTGTTCTTCAACCTATGGATCAGGGAGTTATACGTTCATTGAAAACGCACTATAGAAAACTTTTATTAAAGCGAATATTTGAAAGGTTGGAAAATGATATAGATGTTATGCCTAAGACTACTGTTCTTGATGCAATTCTTTACGTAAATGAAGCTTGGTCACTTGTGCCGGAAGAAGTAATTCGTAACTGCTTTAGGCATTCTGGCTGGCTTAATACCGACTTTGAAGCTGAAGATGAGATTCCGTTAACAGAGTGGATTCTTCGCCAAGATGTTTCAGTTAGTGACGAAATTGATATTGAGGAATTTGTCGCCATTGATGATCATTTAGCTACCAGTGCCATTCCAACGTCTGAAGAAATGGTTTCAGAAATCATTAATAATAGTCCAATAGTGAGCAGCGAGGAGAGTAGCGATGAGGGAAGTGACAGACAAGATATAGAAGAAGAAATAACGGTGCGAGAAATTGGCGAGGACAGAGGGTTAGCTCCAACTAGTCAAGAAGTGAATGCAGCAATTTTAACAATTAGGGGCTTTCTTGAAAATCATGGCCGAGATAGCAAAGAAGAGCTGCTTGAGATATTGGGTCAGCTTGAAAATGGCATCCACAAAATTTGAAACTAGTTAATGCCTCCATTAATTTTTTTTTGTATTTTATTGGTTCTGTTAGTAATTTCTCTTAAATAAAAATACTTGTTTACCTTCTACCCCCTGGTTAGGTAATGAAGACTACCTATATTTAGGTAGTCTTCATTATTTAACCAGGGGTGAGATAGACAAAAGCTTTAACAAAATAAATTAGTTAACGAGTACCTAGTAACTCTCTACCTATAGTGTGATTAAATTATAACGACAGCGATATGCAGAGGGTACCTATGCAGATTGTGCGGGGAAGGAAAGTATGCAGTAGAACATTTATTAAGGGAATGTAGTGAGTTGAAAGAACGGAGTAAAAGTAGAAAAAAATATGTTACATAAGGATAGAAGAGGAGTGCGTTGGATAAAAGAGGTACAGAAGAATAAGGAATCTGGGAGGAGAGCAGGAGTAAAGGGGGGACGGGGATTATTTAAGTTTATTTAACTTTGTAATTTTGTGTTTGTTTATGGATGTTATATGAGGAGGTGAACTCCAAAACTCGGCTTATCCATATTAGTTGTTTTTAAGCAAAATGTCAAAAACCTTAAACGTGAGTACTAACGCATATCAGGCCTACAGAATACTTTAAAAGAAATAAATAGGTATAAGACTTATATATACCTATACTATAAGTATTAAATTTATATACCTTGATCAATAATAATTATATCATGTCATAACTGGCTTATACGTATGTAATTTTAAATTATTTCAAATTGGAGCTATACCTCAATTATTATTATTACATACGTATAAGCCAGTTCTGACATGATATAACCTATAGATAAGGCAAGTTTTGGAACGATAGTCAATTTGTAAATGAATTTTAAATGGAATAAGGTAAGTTTTAGAATATTATAAACTTTTCAGGGTGTAGGGGGATACATGTTAAATGTACAGACACCACTAACTCATTTTTATTAAAAAGTGGATAAGCCGAGTTTTGGAATGGACCTCCTCATTTGGAATGTTTGTAAAGCATCAAAAGGCAATGAAATAAAGCATTATTACTATTATAACGACGGCACTAATTACATTGATTTTAAGGTATACCTATAGGTATAGTCCGTCCAGCCATGAAATGAGGTTTTTTTTAATTTCGAGCTGACTTGGTTAAGTTATCCTACCTATTCAGGTATTTCGTTTGAATTCGCACTACACCATAAGTCAAACTGTTTTTATTAACATTCTTTTAAATAAAATATGTAATTTTTTGTGGCCTGTTTTTTATTTATTGACACTGTACAAATGTATTTGCTTAACTTGTCAATTATAGAGACAGACAGAAATTGTGTTTGTGTCGCCTAGCATCTTGAAAATGAAGTTTTGAATATAACCAACAAAAAATATGAATTTTTTGGACACATAATGACATTAATGACTTAAAATTAAATAGTTCCGATATAGCGAGATTTCGATATAACGAATTCCCCTTGCGTCCTCGTTATAGCGGGATTCAACTGTAATACAAAAAAAATTAAAAATTCAATTTTTCTGAAAATTTTCAAATAACTACATTTTTTTACCAAATTTAAAAAAAAATAGAAATGGTATAAAATCTGTAATCCTTGAATTTTTTTAATAAAATTTGAAATTTTTCGATAAACTTCGGTGAATTAAATATTGTACCACTTTAATTTGAATTATTTTGATTTGGGGGGCAGGAGGCTGGGGGGCTGCCTAACTTTTTTTCGAAAACTTCAATTTGAATTCTGCTTGCGCAGAACGTCTATATAATGTCATAAACTCATATAAATTTGATGTGGGTCCCATGTCTAATAACTGAGATATGGGTGTGCCCAAAATCCTCCAGCCGCCACTGGTTTTATCATAAAACTTTGAAACCTAAAACAATTGTTTTAAAATCAAAACAAAAATGCAAAACTTAATAAAATACCAGTGCGGTCGACAAAATAAACTTTTTTTACCACAGTGGAGCCAACAACTTTTCTTGGGTAATTTGGGTGCTCTGATTTAAAAAATGACCATCATTTTGTTTAATTAGCATATAGGATTATTTAGGTATGGGCTGCAGCCCTGGGCCCCCTTGCGATAAAAATTAAAAAAAAAAGTTAATCTTATTAAAATTTCAGCTCTTAATATATTAAGAGCTGAAATTTTAATAAGATTAACTTTTTTTAATATTATTAAAGGTCCCATAACGCGATTTTCAACTTTCTTGTTTAAATACCATGGAGATAAAAATTTAACATTAAAATTATTATAACTCGATAGGTAGAGAATTAATGGACTAAAATGATAAGTTCAGGTCATTTATAAACGCTCTAAAAAAATGGTCTTTTGTAATTTTATGATAAATCTAACGAGTATACTCGTTCAAAAGTTATTCAAGCTTAAATAGAATTTATAGTTTATATTTCTTTTTATGTAAAATTTTTGGATTTATTACAAAATGGTATAGGAATGTTGTGTAAATCATTTTATTTTTCATAAAAATATGTTATTTTATAATTTAACTGTTGATTTCAAGAAAATAGCAATTTTATTGGATAAAATTGATTTGTTTAACCAGTAATTTAAAAAAATATTGAATTACATATTTTTTTTAGAAAATAAAATGATCTACAAATAAAGTCCTTTGTAATAAGTCCGATGTTTTTACTGAAAAAGTAAGAACAACTTAAAATTTACTATAAATTTAACTTTAAGCCTGAATAACTTTTGAACGAGTATATTTATCATTATATAATAAGAGACCTTATTTGTAAAGCGTTTTTTTTTTTTGAAAAATATTCAAACGTTTTGTAGGGCGAGAGAAATTTTCGAAATTGGCCGAACGAAATACACGAATCGACGGGTAAAAGACCAAAGTTTGACATATTAAAAGATGAGCTTCATCGAATGAAAACTAATCGGCCAGGAGCCCGTTTAATTTTTGTTGGTATTTAAATCATATACAGGGGAACCCAACAAAGTATCCAACAACACTTTGACAGGTCTCAAGTGAACAGGTGACATATGTCAAGTGGTAGATGTCAATGATATATGACAGATGACAAATAGCAGATGACAAATGACATGTGACAGGTGACACATGACATATGTCACATATGTCACATATGTGACAGGTGACACATGACATGTGACAGGTGACACATGACATGTGACAGATGACAGATGACAAGTGACAGATGACAGGTGGTAGATGACAAATGACAGGTGACAGGTGACAAATGACAGCTGACAAATGACAGGTGACAGGTGGCAGTCTAGGTGGAGCGGTCGCGGCGCGTATCCCACCCGCAGCGAGCACCAAGCTCAGCTTGTTAAGTTGGGTTGAATCCACTTATTTTGATCCAAAGAGTGTGTGGCCCTACATTGTGCAAGCTTTTTTAGAACACATTGTATAAATTCTAAAATGTTTTATTTATTTATTTTAAGAATGTGGTATTTTTTATTGGTTTTTATTTTTGACCTAAGAATGTTGTTTTGATTTTATTTGTTAATAAAAGTAATGCCTTTTATATTTATTTTGTATTTATGTTTGTTATGTGGATCAATCCCACGAAAAAATTAAATCTTTTTTTATTATAACTGTTTGTAATTTAAAAAGTTGTTTAATATCTGTAAATATAAAAAATCTTTTTGACAAAACCCAAACTTGTATAGGCCCCTAACAGCTTTAGCCCAGGGCCCCCATTGGAAACGGTCCGCCCCGGCTGCATATTGAAAAAACGATTTTTTACAATATCTTAAAAAAAAGGCTTATTGGACAAAATTATGGATATTTTTGGAATCAGTGTACCCAAATTACATTGTAAAAGTTATTGTTCACCCTGCGACAAAATGGCTGTTGACCAGTGTAACTTATAAAACTCGCTTCTTTCTCCCACCCTCTATTTTGTGGAACTTGCGATATACGAAATAAGATTTTGTGCTTGCCCAATCTATTCTATGCGATGCTTATACGTAAAACGAATCTGCGTTTCACCGTGATAGTATCACATTGATACAATAGATGGCAAAAGTAAAGGCACCTATAAATTGGTTAATAAATGTTATTAAATATTATTTATTATGTAGGTTTACCTACATAAAATTAAAACAATAAGTAAATTTTAATTATTCCATCTTTTTATTGTATGCAGGCCACTGATGTATAAGTAATTACTTATACATCAGTAAGTTAACTTACTTAGGTATACATAAGTGGCGGCTGGTGTATTTTGGACACAACCCATATCTCAGTTATTAGACATGGGACCCATTTAATTCACTGAAGTTTTTCGACAAATTTTAAACTTTATTAAAAAAAATCAATAATTACAGGTTTAATAAAATACAATTATAATTATATTAAAATGAAGACGATATATAAAACCAATCTCATAAAAAATTCCCTACGAAATTTTAATTATTTTAAAACCGTGAAAAATAATAGAACCTTTTGTGTATATTAAATGGAAAACATTGATATTTAAGCATTTATTGTGACAATAAAGTTTTTCTATTTATTGTCTATTTCAAAACGCTTTGCTAGTGATTTGTTTATGCAATAAGGCATAAAAACCGTTTTCCAAACCAAGGTTAACGTTGAACTACTGCATGCAATTGTGATTTAACAGAAATACTTACCCTATATAATATACCTACAGTGTTTCTTGAGATAGAAATAGAAAAAACTTTTTTATTTGTAGGTTTACAATTTTATTAATATATTGAAATTATGAACAATATTTCAATCATTTTATTAATTTTGTTATTATACTTAAATTTCAAAATTATTTTTTTTATTACGAACTTAATACATACTATAACCTATTTATAAAAACATACTTACTCTACAAATATGAACTTCTTTCCCCTGCAGCCTGTAGTACAAATACCCAGCGAACATCCCAATAAAATAGGGGGTGGCCCTGGTGTGGGATTTACAGTAGGTCAGTAAAAAGTCCGGGTGTACTTTGGGTCCGGTCAAAAATTCCGGGTAAAAATGTAGAAGAGCCGGTCGTTGATATACTATGGTTAAAATAAATGGTATTGCCATTGATGCTACGGTAAATATGGTTAGTACTCCCAGACCCGATTTTCGTTCTTTTTTTATTAGGATGCATATAAATATTCCTATGATAAAGTAATGGAAATCACATGGAAGGTACCAAGAATGAGTCATACACTGAAAAATAAAAAAAGTATGGTATTTTATGATTTTCAATTTATTTTCGAATTTTATTTAAAAATTAATTGTAAATTTACAATTAATAATACATAATAATTTTTTGTAGTTTAATTTTTATTTAAATTTTGAATGTTTATATTCTATATTTTCATATTTTTTTTGTATGTCCGAAACTATTTTTCATTTCAATTATAAAACTAGGGCATCCATTAGGTAGGCAGTAGGTATTTAAAATAGTTATGTCATAAGGCTAAGAGGTGAATTTTTTTTGTGAGCTCAAAGTTAAAAGTAGGAGTTTGCGGTATTGAAAAAAATATCGATATTAATAATTTATCGATATATTCGATTTATCGAATAGTCGATATAATGAATAATCGATATATCGAATTGAATAGTCTATATATCGAATAGTCGATATATCGATATATCTACTATTCAATATATGATTATTCGACATATCAACCATTAGATACATCGACAAAATATCGACTGTTCGGTACATATACAGGGTGTCCCAGAACTCGCGCCACAGAGAAAAAGGGGGCGTGCCGATAGCAATGGAGATGCCAAATTTAAAAATAAAAAATTTCTAGGTAAAAGTGTAATCGAATGAGAGCAAAAAAGCGGCAGCCAATACCGAGAGATCTCGCCTAGGTTAAACGTAGGAGCTTTAAAAATTGCTAGGAGACGATAGAACATTGTTGTATTAAAAACATTTAAAAATCTTTTGGCCAACTGTATTTACTAAGTTGTCAAAAGCTTTTAAAAAATGAGGTTATTAATCTATGACTGATACTTCAGAACGCCAATGTTTTAAAGTAAAAAATCAAACCAGTTGTACTTTATTTAGCTTTTTTTGGGCCCACGCTCCCCATAAATAGTTATCATTTCGGTATAATCATCAAGGAAAACATTATGTATAATAACTTAATTTATTACCTAATATAATATTAATGACAAAAGTAAAGATTGACAGCATTGTCAATAATAACTTAATTTATAACCTAATATAATATTAATGACAGGAGTAAAGATTGACAGCAGTTTAACAATGAATTAAATTCCAGTGGACGAAATATTTTACATATTTTTTATTATCAACAATGCAACCTAAGTATCCTAGCAATTTAAAGAATTCCCTGTGGTGATCTATTGGGATTGGCTATCGTTTTTTATTCTTATCTCCCAGTGTTATTGGTCCTATTATGTTTGTAATATATTTAAATGATTTAAATTGTACAGTTACAAAGCAAACTCAAAGTCTTATAAATTTTGCTGACGATACAAATTTACTTGTTAGGTCAAATAAAGCGGAAGAACTAATATCCGAAATAAGACTCTTCACTGGGGTTGTTGAGAGTTGGTTCGCCGAGAATGGCCTCATACTTAACAAGGATAAAACCCAGTGTATTTATTTTAATAATATAAAGTAAAGGTTTAAAAGTATAAATACAATAAAAGTGTTTGACACAACCATTGATTTAGCAAAAAATACAAAGTTTTTGGGAGTTCCCATTGATGAAAATTTAAACTGGAAGGTACATGTTGAACAACTTTGCAAAAAACTTTATAAAACATATTACTCCTTTAGAGTAATTCGATCGTATGTAGACTTTCAAACCTTAAAAACATTGTATTTTGCAAATATTCAATCCTTGTTGATATATGCTATCATTTTCTGGGGCCAAAGTACTAACGTTGGAGATATTTTTGTAATACAAAAAAAGGTCTTGCGCACAATGTTGGAACTAGGACACATGGAATCATGCAGAGGTATTTTTAAAACAAACAAAATCTTAACCATTTATGGTCTTTATGCTTGTGAACTTGTCTTATTAATGTACAAAAATAAATTTTTATTTCAAGATCTAAAATCTTTAAGCACAAGACACAATTATTTTTATTACCCTTATCATAGGTTATCAATATACGAAAAAGGCTGTTTTTATGCATGTATAAAAGTATTTAATAGTCTACCTGCTATATCAAGGAAATTAACAACCTAAATTTCCTTAAGAAGGAATTGTTTAACTATTTTTGTGATCTGGAGTCATACTCCTTTCATGATTTGTTTTCACATTGAAAGTATTTATGTATTTTTTGATTTTTTCTTTTTTGTACATATTATTGTGTTTTTTCTTGTAATTTAATGTGCAAATTTTTGAAAATAAACGATATTATTATTATTATTATTATTATCCTTTGCGTTGGACAATTTGAATTTTTAAATATGTGTTTCAAATTACTTTCGGTACGTTCCCTTTTTCTCTGTGGCGCGAGTTCTGGGACACCCTGTATATACTATTCGATTTAATATAAATATTTAATTCATCAACTACCTACCTCTACTTTATTTGATGAAATTTATGAGATTTACTAAATTCAACATTGCCAAATATCAGGCTAATGCAATGTTTTACCTTAAAACCTTTAACAGTATGGTCTAAAAGAGTAAGAATACCTAAAATAGCAATTAACATTTTTCAGCAAAAATTAGTTTAGGTACTGCAAATTTTTGAGATTGAATTGTTGCACTTAATCATTAATCTCGAGTCAGGAATCCTGATTCAGGATTATATCCACTGTTGCTATTTAATAAGTCATTTTAAAAAATTATAAACTATTTAAGAAATAAGCCCCTCAAAGCCAACCCTAGGTCCGGAGAAACATCCAAGCCACTGGGAGTAAAAAAAAAATTATTGTTGTCTTTTCTTTAATGAAATGTATTGTTAATTATTGCACAAACCATCTTAGATTCCAGAAACAAACTGTGCATCGAAGAATTTTTTTCGAAATTTAAAGTAGTACCCAAAACACCTCTGTCACAAAAATGTTTTACTTCATGCAAAGTCTCAACGTCAATAGGACTTCTAACGGGGCAATGAAAAAAAAAACATGAAATTTTAACAATCAATGTATCTTCCATGAGATACTTTATCCTGTTTAGTTCATTAAAATTTTACCAGCGCTCTGTGTAAATTCTTCCCTTTGTGTGCCTATCTGGGGCACACTAAAAATGAAAATGATAAAAATGTTATAGTCGTGCATCCCGAACTGCATCTTTTAATAGGTGCAGTCGCAACAATTTTCATTTTTTTTCTTCCCATCATCGTAGATATATGGGTTAAAAAGTGCAATCTCCAAAAAAGATTTACTGAAGGGTCTGGATGGTGTTTTAATGGCAATGAAAGTCTAAAATTGTTCAAAAAAATTGAATACCTGAAACATTTCTACTCTATAATCTTTAAAGTTTATTTAATGTTTTGCAAGTTTGGAAAAGGTTGTGGACATGTGTTTTGGTAAAAAATACATAAGAATTATTTAGACCAATCAAAGATTTTAAAGACATACTAAATGAAGTAACTTTTAAGATACATGCGATTATGTGCCTAATTTGTACAAAGGTATGAAAAAAGTTTGGGAATTTATTCCGAACAAGCTGCCCAATGGGCAGTGCCCATGTCGATTAAATAACTTTTTGGGCACGTTACAAGTTGGGTAAAGAGCACACAGAATACCCAAAACGTTTAGTTAATGTAATTATGCAATAATGTTTGAATAATAAAAGTTTGTTTTTAAGGGTAGTTTTAATTAAAATATTTAAAGGTTATATCAAAAATATTAAAAATAAAACAATTTTATAGTCAAAATAAGTGAACTAAGGACTAATACTAAAATTATTAAAAATGAAATAATTATTTTGGCACAAAAATTTAACTAAGGACCGGTTTATTTGTTAAGTAAAGTTTATCTGACCAATAACTTTCATGTCTTGAAATTATTTGTCACATAAACCAAAACTAATTTAATCGGCCCTAAATAAAATAAATATGGTGTAAGTCTAAATTAAAACTTTATGGCAACCTTAGAATTATTGTTTGACAAATGTATACATTTTTATGTAAAATTGTCCCCTGAATCCGAAAATACCGTCACAAATTATGAAAGTGTAGCAGTTTTTGAGATATAGTCAATTCCATATTAAATGGAAAATTGACTATATATCAAAAACTGTTCTACTTTTTTAACTTTTGACGACATAATCGTATTCAAGAGACAATTTTACATAATAATTGGCTGTTAAATTTTGGGATACCATGGTATTCCATGGTTAACCATGGTACAAGTGTTCACTAATTCATTTTTAGAGAGTACATTTTTTTGTACAATTATGATTGTATATAGACACAATTTTTATTTTTAAAAGATATAAGATAAGTACATATTGTTAATTACTTTTAATTTGTGGTGCAAACAGAGCGTTATAATATTATGATAATATCGTAATATATTATATGCATTATTAATTATATTATTACGTACGACATTTTCTAATAATTATAATGAAAAACTATTATTATTAATTCACAATCTAGTTATTGTTGACGTAGAAATATAAATATATATTAATTTTAATAATTAAATAAATCCACCTGCAATAGTCACGATCAACTTTTTCCCGACCACTTGCATGCATATAGAACAAGGTCAGCAAAATTTGCAAAAAAATTGACTATTGACTATAAAATATTAATAGTTGATAATATTGGCAGTGACTTAGTTAAGTTTGTCTTGGCGCGAGTCAACCAAATAGTTATATAACACCCCAAATAAATAATACAGAATTAGAAAGTTAGTTTACATATTAAATTTTGTGCCTGACGTATAAGAACCTATGGGATTTATTTCTTCATTCATTACCTGGGTTTTAACGATTACGATACTGTAAATAGTAAATTTATATAATCAATGGCCAAAATTTCATTGTTTAAATATAATTGCCTATTAAGGAGATACCTAATCTTATTGCTAATAAAAAAAGTGTTAGGTATTTTCGTTATATAATTTTTTTAAAACTATATTTTGTGAAAATATTTGTATCAATTATTATTAATATGTAAATATATACTTATAAGTAAAAACTGGGCCTTGAATTTTCTAATAAGGTTTACATGCGTGGATTAATAAATTAATTAGTTATATGGGTTGTGCAACTG